ATGAATATTTACCTGTGGATAGAGAGGTTGTTGGTGCCAATACGGCGGATGAGCTGGCCAAGACGACGGAGCCGGAGCCACAGCCGGGACTGGAAACGTCCGATGAGTAGACGGTGGCGTATTATTAGGCTTGTGTTTAGGCCAAGTAGGATGACCCCACACGTGCAAAGGCCTAAAATGGCCGTGATGCATTGGTGGCACGTGTGGAGGATAGCCTAAGGTAGGAGCCATCCACGGTTTCTTCCCTCCTCCTCCTCCGGCTACTGCCACCGTCGCGTGCCGCCGGAGATTCCAGCTGGCAGCTTCTGCTTCACGTGCTAGCAAATGCTTCCGATGTGACCTATATTTCTATCATTACAAGAAAACACACAACATAAATTAATCTTATTATACAAATCTCAATAATGTTCGTATGTATTTCAATTGTTTTTTTGTTCTCTTTAACTTGAGAATTCAAAACAATAATATAAGATTCAATTGGTTATGATTAATTATAGCCGTAAATTAATTGCTGTAGAATTTAATCTGCGAGTTAAAATACCTGGAGATGGCTAGCAACGTTGTGACGAGTTAGAGATTTAACGTCCATAATTTCCAAAATCCTTGATGGCACCGCCTTGTCTACTCCTAATTGCTCCACCGCCTGTACGAATTTCCGGTGTAACTCCGGCGTCCAATCAACCTAATTTGCCGGCAGCCAAAAACACAATTTATTTATATTAATTATATATATAATACGTTCATTAGATGATTGATCCGTATTGTACTCATGCAGTGTACAAATTCATTTCGAAGATTATAAAAAGTAAAGATTACGTCCATTTTATTATTAGTAAAATGTCTAGATGATACTATAATTCTACTTTAAGTTGAAAAATTATTATTAGTTTTTTTTTTTTGAAAAATTATCATTAGTTAAAAGTTAAAACAACGATTATATTGCATTAAATCTAATTAAACACACCTTTGGTTTCTTCTTAATTTCGTTATCATCGGATAAACAGTCTTTATTTCTCTTCGCTTTACGTTTGCCTCTACGCACCGTTTTATCCTTACCATCACCGTCATGTTTTAACGCACCACCACCGTGTCTCTCCGATGTCTCCGACGCCGTCGAAGTGTTTCCCTCTTGCTCCTCATCTCTTCCGCTGCCGGAATATTCCCCGAGAATCTCAGAATCCATCTCCAAATCCGGCAACACATCATCTCCATCGAATCCAATGAAAAGATCGTCGTAGTAATCGATTCCTTCAAAAATATCAAGACTTCCTTCGTCGGAGAAATCAACGACCGTCGTGAAGTCCGGCAAGTCTTCCGTCGTAAAATCTGCGAAATCTGCCGCCATGTAACTATCCCTTGATGAAGTCTTTACGATGAGTGGAGAAACAGTTAACATCGAAATGAAAAAATTCAAGATTTGTGAATTTTAGAGAAAACAGAGTGAATGATACAGTGAAGTAGTAG